TAAATTCACGTTTATTCTGTAAAAATATTTTACTATATCTCTTAAATCGTAACTTTGTTACAAAATGTGCAATTAAACTATTTCAATTTCTCAAGCTTTTTTATTCTTACATAAAAAAATTTATTAAACATTTATCTGATTTAGCCAGTAGGTAAACATTTTTCAAGTAATTTAGCTGCTTTTTAAGCTTTATTACTTCCCATGAAGTAGTAGAAAACGAAAAAATGTCCCATGTAGAATGATATAATTGGATGTATTTTTTGTAAGCTGCCTAGTTTAACCTGCACCTTTAACAGAACTTTGTGTTTGGGGAAAATGTCTACTTATCACTAGCGTGGTGAAAATATTTTTAACTGTCATTTGAAAATGACCAAAAATATATACTAAACAAACGTTACACATTTTTTCATTGTCCACAGTTTCTGTAAGAGCTGCTCAAAGACGTTATTTTAATTAAAAATCTTGTAGTGTTTGATAAGATGATTCCGTCGCTTCACCATCTTCGGATTCTTTGATCTGTCAAGCTATCCATATTGTATAAAAACAAACATACAACATCTGTTCTTTTTTGCATCATGGTACTCATCGACTTAGCAAGAGCCAATTAGAGTTTGATTATTTTTATATTATTTACTGATTTCGTGACTGCTAAAGCGAATTATATTTTTCGTTATATTGTCCGTGGATTTCACAATAGCTGAGCAGAGTTTGGTTCATTAACCAGATTCACTCAGTTTATCTGTAAAAACTCATTAAAGAATGGCACTTTCCGCAAGTTCTGTAAGAATAGATTAGACCGGTTTCTTATTGACCCTATCCACAAACTTTACAAGACATTAATACAATATGAAGTTTTTCATTTCAATATTTCAAAAGTCAGTAAAAACAATAGCAATAACCACAACATTTTTAAGAGGTGAACTTTGATTAATTTAGCCAGATATCCTCTAAGAACTGACAAGAGTTAGTTAGTTCTTTCATGGCACTATTAACTAATCCCGTAAGACCTTGCCATGAAGTTTACTTTTCTCCTAATAATATTCACATATCGTACAAGAGCTAACTGATGCTCAAAAACAATACTTTTTTCATATAAAATGTAATTAAAATCAATCAAATCCAAGTTGACACTAGTCTCTAGTCGGTTATTATGTAAGCCTTGTTAGGAATATTACATTGACCCCTTTTCAGCTTCCTTCTGGAGAGATTGAAAGTCACTGTTTTCATTTTTTTTAAGCTCAGATTCTCATGTTTATAGAAAGCGAGTTACCAGAAGCAGCGTGACTGATAACAGCGTCCTCTATCTAACCATGTTGCATGCTAAACAACATTATTTGTTCTGGCAGTTAAGTCATATTCGAAAAACGCGTCACTCTTTCGAGTTTGGCATATACGTTCTTGAACTTCTATTATGATGGCTTTCCGCTGCTAGCTGTGGAATTCACGCAATGAGACTCAAGTACAGTGCAGACGATGTGTGTTTTAATCTCACGTTCAGTAATAAATTTGTTATGCAACTTCTGGAGTTGTTGTATCTTCAGCAATGATAAATGCAATGGTTTTTATTTTTTCCCTTTCATTATTTTTTTGTATTTTATTAATAAATTAGAAAGGTAACACCACATTATTTAAATTTAAATGAATCATTCTTCATGTGTAATTGCCTACAAAAATCAAGTTTTGCTTACTTTTTCAAACAATAAATCTGTTAATAGATTGAAGTGTAAGTTGTTTATATTTCTAATGTGAAATTGCATTATCTATTCTAAAATATTCATCCCAAACGTTTCACTTGTACTTTTATAGAGTATCAAAGTTAGAAAATGTTTTAATATATTTTAAGTATATATTTAAAGATATATATAAATTTAAGGCTAGAACTTTGAAATGCTCTGTGATTTTGCGTAAGTTGGCTCAAAAATCTGATCAGTGAAGAATAATGTAGCTATGTGATATAAGTTTTTCCTACAATTGATTTAATTACGTCTACAATGAATAAAAATAAATAAATAATACGGAAGTTCAGATACTGAGATTGAACTTAAAGGCATGTAAATTTTTAATATTTTGATACCTGTGTAATGGTGATTGCTTTAAGAGAAGTTATGTAGTCATTTTTATAGGTCCTGAGAAGTTGCTATAGGTGGTAGTGTCTGTAGAAAGAACGCATGCTATGCACGGACTGTAGTGTTAGTGTGTCAAGTCGTGATGAATGATTTCAGAGCTTGAAGTGATTATAATCGCATCAGGCTCCTGGGTTTCTATTATGTGAAATTTGAGCGGAACACAATAACAATTAGATCACCAAGAGGGGTGGGGTTTTTGTGGCAGAGCACCCAGACCAGTTGAAAAAGAAAAAAAAAGTCTGCGTGATATAATTTATTTTCTATTCGAAATCTCTTTTATGTATTTATAACTTGCTTATTGTTCAAAATTGTCGGAATGGGAGAGTGGAAATGTCATGAGAAAGGTTACTTGTCTTCTTTTTAATTTTTGTTGTACAATTGTAATATTGAAACTGACTTTTTGCGATTTAGCAAATACTAGATTTCTGCACTGAACAAATACAAAGATATATATATAAAAGTCTCACATTATCGATTATCAGTCTTTCTTGTTTTGATTATATGTGATTATGGTAACATATCTTTCATTTAGAGCTATTATTTCATTACTTTTATATTGAAAGTAACACTATGCCTTAATGCTTTTCGAAGTATTTCAGTCATGGTGTTCAAACTCCAGTTTCACTAATACAGGATGTATAGGTACGCCGACTAGTCAGCGTCGACCCAGTTATTGAACACAGATTTAGCGTAACAGATGCAACAGATAACGTGTTATTTCACGGTGTTCTCTCTCAAGATAACAAATGACGCCCCAAGTGGTTCAGAGGTAAACTTGGGGCTTATAACGCTAAAATTCGGCGTCTGATTCTTGAGGTAGGCAAAAAACAGGTACCCCATTGTTTGCTTTGTGCTTAAAGAAACAATAACGAGTTGAAAATAGAAATGTTGATATTCTTGAATACATAGTGTATAACTTTGACATAGTAATTGTTTCTATGGGCTTCTAATCTGGCATTGGCCGCACTTCTCCAAAGTTGAGGCCTCATTTTGACCACATTAGTCCGACACCAACACAATTTTCTTTAACACAGAATCTAGTTAGTTATCAGGTGCGACGCTATACTTTCTTTAACACAGAATCTAGTTAGTTATCAAGTGCGACACTATACTTTCTTTAACACAGAATCTAGTTAGTTATCAAGTGTGTCACTATACTTTCTTTAACACAGAATCTAGTTAGTTATCAAGTGCGACACTATACTTTCCTTAACACAGAATCTAGTTAGTTATCAAGTGCGACACTATACTTTCCTTAACACAGAATCTAGTTAGTTATCAAGTGCGACACTATACTTTCCTTAACACAGAATCTAGTTAGTTATCAAGTGCGACACTATACTTTCCTTAACACAGAATCTAGTTAGTTATCAAGTGTGTCACTATACTTTCTTTAACACAGAATCTAGTTACTTATCAAGTGCGACACTATACTTTCCTTAACACAGAATCTAGTTAGTTATCAAGTGTGTCACTATACTTTCTTTAACACAGAATCTAGTTACTTATCAAGTGCGACACTATACTTTCTTTAACACAGAATCTAGTTAGTTATCAAGTGCGACACTATACTTTCTTTAACACAGAATCTAGTTAGTTATCAAGTGTGTCACTATACTTTCTTTAACACAGAATCTAGTTACTTATCAAGTGCGACACTATACTTTCTTCGAAATCGTAGTCTGCCTCTATCAGATATCGTTATTTAAGTAGAAAATTGTTATTCATTTGTTATTTTTAAATTCAAAACCTTTGCAGACAAAATGACTATGCAAACTTCAGCTATTGATATAAAAACCATCGCTTTCATCTTAAAATGTTCTGAAAATGAATTTAGTATTTAATTTTCTAGAATACTTATATAGTCTCCCAGTGGCACAGCGGTATGTCTGCGGACTTACAATGATAGAAACCCGGTTTCGATACCCGTAATGGGGAGAGCATAGATATCCCTTGCATAGCTTTGTATTTAACTTCAAAGAAACACATACTTACACTAATTTAAAACAAGGCATACATGGAAGGAAATGCCTTACATTTAGGTTACTATATGGTGGATTAAAAAGGACTTAAACCTTATAAATATTATATACACATCAATATTATAAGAGGTTTGTTTTTCTTCCATTTGTTCGCCCCAAGCTATGCTGATGAGCCTTGAATAGGCGAACCTGCAGTTCATAGCAGAAGGCGTGGTCTCTCCGTCGTTGATTCTATTTTTCATTTTACTTTTGGTGAAAAGAAAAAAAAATTACAAGCCTTAAATTTCACTTCATATAGAAAAAAAAAGTTAGTTTTGTTATCTAGAAGTGCTAGTGATTCAAACAGTTAGTTTCCTGTTGATTTTTGTATGTTTTTTTCGTGTAAGTTTTGTGCTGAGAACATAAGTCGTAGTGCCGATGGCCTGATTTATTTATTCTTTCGCCGTAAGCCAGTTAACGTGTGTGAAATATTTTGATGGAATTAAAGGTTTTCAAAATAACCCCGCATGCTTAACTTTTGAGTTAATGCACTTAATAAATGGAAACTCGATGAATGTTGGCAAAAATATTTCAAAGGAAGCACTGATAAAGAGACGCTTGTGAATCTAAAACCACGGTAAAGAAGTTGTGCTCAAAAGCACAAGGAAACCGTGCAAAAATAAAGTATGTAAATAGTCAGCTCTTAAAATGGTAGAATCCTGGGATTTTGTAAACGTAGAATTAACTCGTCGGTAAATGTTACAAAACAAAGATGTAATTGGCAGCTAATAGTAACATACAGATCTTTTGGAAGGTTTTAAACAGCAGATGAGAATCCAGATGCGAGCAGGACCTTGTGTAATATGTCCTTGAATTAACGAAGTTTCGAATGAAAACCGTCGTCGGCTATCGATCGTCATTGTAGACAATTTCTAATTTGAATTAACAAAGTTTTGAATGAAAACCGTCGTCGGCTATCGATCGTCATGGTAGACATTTTCTGAGGAGTTGCAGAATTGCGTTTAATTTTTCATCTTTAAGTAAAGCAGCGGTGACAAAGGTGTTTAATATCGTCTGTGACTTAATTAGAACTAAACAGTCTTAACGGATATTTGTTTGTGTGTTTTACTACAGCTGCAGAATAATGGCCTAGATAACTGTGCCCATGATGCTAGACAACCTGCCAGTTATCAGAACTAATCTGATAAACTTGTACGTTAATTAAAGCCACAGGAAGGAGGAGCCCATTATGATAATGACCTGAATAGTGGTTTAGGAGAAGGATTGAGTTTTGTTTTATTTATTATAAAATAATATGTGAGTACGTAGAAAGAGGGCATGTTAAAACATGTTTTGTTTTTTTTTGCTTTTGTGGTTACTAATATCATAAAGATATAAGGTTTGAAAATATTCTTTATAACTCATTGTCTTTTGCTTTTCAAAATATTGTTGTTAAAGATATAAACATGTAGATAATAAAGTATTGTTTAAAGAACTGCATGAAATACAACGCGATGCTTTTAATATAGGGCCGGGCGTGGCCCAGCAGTTAGCGTGACCGAAATTGTTAATCCTATAGTTATTTGTTCGTGTCTCGTTGCTGCAAAAAAGCATGCCCTGCCTTCGTGGTTATGGGTGCGCTATAAAAGTGAAGGTCAAATTCCATTATTTGTTGGATACGAGTAGCTAAAGTGTTGGCCCGGCATGGCCAGGGGGTTATGGCGCTCGACTCGCAATCTGAGGGTCGCAGGTTCGATTCCCGTCCCACCAAACATACTCGTGGGGGCGTTATAATTTGACGGTCAATCCCACTATTCGTTGATAAAAGAGTAGCCCAAGAGTTGGCGGTGGGTGGTGATGACTAGCTGCCTTTACTCTGGTCTTACACTGCTAAATTTGGGACGGCTAACGCAAATAGCCCTCGTGTAGCTGTGCACGAAATTCAAAAACAAACAAACCAAGCTAAAGTGTTGGCTTCCCTCCAGTCTTTCATCAAAATGAGGGGTGGATATGCACAGGTGTGACAGTTTTCCATAAAAGGAATAATAATACTTTACCCATGGATGGGACCCATAGCAGTTTACTCCCAGCTACTCGTAGAAATTGACCATATTTGATCAGTTTTTTTGTGAAAAAACAACCATGCAAGCTTCAACTATTGATATGAAAACCAACACTTTCATTTTAAAACTAACTGCAATTGAATTTTGTTGTTAATTTTCTAGAATACTTGTATGGCACGGTCCAATGGTTAATGTTCTGGACTGTGGATCTGTGGGTTTATGAATCGTATCGCGTTTCGAGAAAATCACGCTTCTCACTTTGAGGCCGTGGGTATGTTACAAGAGTGACGGTAAAACCCACTTCTACCAGCAACTCAAGAGTTGGTGGGGGGGGGGGGTGCAACTGACACTCTTCCTTCCCTCTAGTCTATCAATTCAAATTTAATAACGGCTCGAACATAGGATCTTCCCATCTGTAGCCCAACAAGCTAACCACTAGGTCTTGAATGTAAAGACTTGTGTTAGTGTTAGTTTGAGAATGGAAATTTACAGCTATGTTTATCGTCTATCATATTTTCAATTTTGTTCGCGTTACATACGTGTTTAGTGAATGTTAAAGTATATACAGAGGACCTTTTATCAATGCAATATATCAAGTTATAAAATTTTAACTGTCGTTAATAAATTTAAAGAAAATCAATTAAAACAATTATTAGAAAATTAATTAAACAAAGAGCGTCTGGATAATATGAGTAATTTTACTCTATTGAGCTTCAGTTGTGGCTCAGTAATATGAATAATAATATTTACATTGATTTATGTTGTATCTTATAATTATTTTAGTTTCCGTTTAGTTCTGTATTTTTCATATTAATTGTGATTTTCATTACATTTATAATAGTTCGTTATATATTCACATCTTATTTTCATATCAAGTCCAATTAATGATTTATTTTCAGCATTATTTGTTACGTAAGTATGATACATGATATCCTGTTTGCGTGTTTGTTTCAATCCCCCCCTCCCGCCATTTGACATCTCGTGCCTCACACGGATCTTTTAACTGTGTTATGTTCCAGTGTTAAGCTTAACCTTTTCTGGGTTCATGATTATTGGACACGTGTGTAAACCTGTATTTTCGATCTCTTATAGGTATGAATGGAAACGTGTTTAACTATAACACTCTGTTTCCTTCTTTGATTGTAGTTACCCTATCGGGTAATATAACGTAAAAATGAATGAGTATATAATAAAAATAATATGTTATAGGCATTTACTTCAAGATAATAACATATTTAAATGAACAAAACGTGATACATAATAAAATTATAAAATTTCATAGGAGACATTCTAGGGATATCGGGAAGTTTTGGTAATGCGTTCTCATTCGTACAGTCACAAAATAAATACCTCTTATTTGATGACAATGGTTTGACTGAAAAAGTCGGTCGAAAACGTGTTTAGAGTTTCACACTTATTATGCACGAAATATCTTCTTTTTTCCACTGAGTGGATGGGAATTTCAAAGATTTAAACATCACAACGGTACTCATTCTGTTGAAACAGCTACTTTTATAAAAGATTTAAATATTCCTTATGTGGACTGTATGTCCCAGGTATTAAGCACTAGGGATAACGGAATTAGAATAGAAGGGAAAATAATAATAGAGATATAACTTTGTAGTCCACCCTTATTTCAAGGAACGCGAAGATCTCCTGTTAACGCACATAGACAATATTCGGTTCTTCCGGTTACTTAGTTTCCCACAAGAACTCAAAATGCACACACAAATACACATGTCAAACTACCTTACAAGTTTTTCCCAATAGCATCATCGGCACCTTAGGCTATAAGACTGTTTGGTACAGTAATTGTAAGAGGTTGCGGTGTTGACTAGCTGTCTTCCCTCTAGTGAGTCTAGTCTATCAGATCTATATTGGGGACTGCTAGCGCCGATACCCTCTAGTACCATTAGGCAATATTCAACGAAACTGCGAACATGTTATTATATACGGGTCTCCGTGTTAGTAAACACTATGAACGTATTTTCAAAACCTATTTCACTTATAATTCAAGAAATATTTTAAAATTACCAAGATTAGAAGACTCAATTAATTATTATATGGTTTCAAGAAGTGTATCCAGGTTTTAATGACTTATATGCTAAGTTGACTGAATGTGTTACCAACTGGTTGTAGGTTTCTTTTATCTTTTCCTCGTATGTGGCTCATATCCCATTTTTTTTTAGTATTATATCATTTTCTTCTTCTTTGAAAATTGGATAAGATATTCCATATGGATAGATGTTACAGGTTTTTGAATGATACTGTATTCCTAAATTTTTGGTTTTCTTGGTTGTTTTGTTTTTCCAATGCTTTTTACTCCACATTTACAAAGGGTGTTATAAATGGTGTGGCTCCATTGGGTTCTTAAATCGTTTGATGTGCACTAACTACGAATGTATTTTGTTGTGTTTTCCTTTGTGGCCAGGCATGGTCCAATGGTTAGTGTTCTGGACTGTGGATCTGAAGGTTTATGGATCGTGTCACGATTCGAGAAAATCACGCTTCTCACTTTGAGGCCAAATCCCACTTCTACGAGAGTAACTCAAAAGTTGGCGGTGGGTGTAATTGACTTCCTTCCTTCCCTTTAATCTATCAATTCAAATTTAAAAACGGCTAGCGCTGATAACCTCATATGGTTTCTTGCAAGTCCTAAAAACAAATAAATAAGTACCGTATTTTTCGGAATGTAAGACGCACCCTTATTTTGAAGACAATGTTCTGGGAAAAAAAAAGCTACAGTCGCA